AGTCGGACTCTAATAGTGATTTTCTTTCTGAAATCCACACGCCCGAGTTCTTGAATAGCATCAAATGTTCGGGAATTCCAAATCATCAGTTGCATTTGAAGATTGGAACCCCTGTCATGTTGTTGCGGAATATGGATCATTCTATGGGTTTATGTAATGGGACACGGTTGGTTGTGACAAGACTATCCGCTCATGTTCTTGAGTGTAAGATACTCTCTGGGGATCACGAAGGAGAGAAGGTGTTGATTCCTAGAATGGCGATAACTCCTTCCGATGTTAGAATTCCTTTCAAGTTTCAGAGACGACAATTTCCTATTATGGTATCGTATGCCATGACTATCAACAAGAGCCAGGGACAATCGTTATCGCATGTTGGTTTATTTCTTAAGAAGCTGGTGTTCAGTCATGGGCAATTATACGTTGCTGCCTCCCGTGTCACCACTCGAAGTGGGTTGAAGATATTAGTCTGTAATGACGATGACGTGTCGCCCAATAAGACCCAAAACGTTGTGTACAAAGAAGTGTTATAATTTAGCAATTGTAGTTGTTATGATTAATAATATTACTAATTCAATTAATTTATTTCATTTACCAATATAAAATATAATAAATTTATATATATATATATATATACACACATGACTTTGCTTTATTTTAATTAGGTGTGATTATTTTGACTTATTTTTTATGATTTTTTTTTTGTGACAGATGCAAATGATCATTGTAGAACTCCACTTCATAATCATAATGCTGCTACAAAAGCACCACAAAATATTATTATTGATCTCACGAGTGAAGATGACATTGAAACCGATATTGTTCCTACTTCAAGTACCACGACACATGTTGTTAGCAGCTTCACTAATTATGTAGACCTACAGCCAAGTACACAAAAAAGAAAACGTGGTCGTCCTAGGAAAACACTATTATCGTCAGGATTTTCTGGTCAGTTTTATTAGGATTCTAATTTTGTTATATATATTCTTCAAGTTTATCATCCAATATTTTTTAAAATAATATAATATTTTTTTCAGGGTCAAATATCATTAATGTGCATGGCCTTAATCTGCACACCCAATCATCCTACAATGTGATGAATACTTTACATCATACGCCGCTTTCTGACATAACAAATGGTACGTTTGTTTAATACCAATAATTTATGAGTTAAAAAAAATGTATGAAACATAATTTGGATTTTAAAAATGTTTACTATATGGAGTATAAAAAAAAAAAATACGTAATATAGTTCTTTTGATACAGTGTTGCAGTCCAAAATTGGATCTTCGAGCACCTCAGGTGCGTCAGTTGGTACGTGCATGGACATCATTTTTTTGAAACAAACAAATCACATTATATATTCTTTTATGTTACACATTATAAATTTTGTATAAAAATACAATCGTTTATATATATTATTGTCTTTTTTTGTGATCAGGACAACGTAAGCGTTGTATATTATCTTCTGATAAGCCCAAGAATAATCCACCTAATAGCATCTTTATCGATCTCACACATGATGAGGTGCATATTAGTAATGAGATCACTCATGGAACCAATACTGCAAGTTCTGTAATTGATCTCACACTTGATAGTCCAATTCAACCAAGTACACAGAAAAGAAAACGTGGTCGTCCTAGAAAAACAACTGGATCATCTTCAGCAGTATCTGGTAATGTTATACGAATCTTTTTATTAGATAACCAAAAATTTGAACAAACGTACGTTTTCTAACATTTTTAATTACATAAACATTTACAGAATATTGGGACTTTGGAGATGCAAGTTTTCGCTGTATGTATTGCGGTTCGATGTTTTGGTATGAGGAGAGAAAGGCTTATCACCAAAATGCAGTTGTACCTGAGTACACCATTTGTTGCACAAATGGCAAAATTGAACTCCCTCTTTTGAATAATCCTCCCCAATTCTTGAAAGATTTGCTTCATGGAGATGGCCAATTAAGCAAACATTTTCAGGATAACATAAGATCATACAATAGCATGTTCGGTTTTACTTCTTTGGGAGGAAAGATAGATTCAGATATCAATAAGGGGACTGGGCCACCGGTGTTTTCTTTACATGGACAGAATTACCATCTAATCGGTAGTTTGCTTCCTTCTGAAGGTGCTTCTCCAAAGTTTGCACAATTGTACATTTATGACACGGAGAATGAAATTTCTAACCGAATAAATGCTGTGAGGTATGACTTTACTTTAATTTATATGCAAAATTAAATCCTAAATCTATGCTTTAAAAATGTAGTTCATTATATAGAACATTTCTATACATATCTTTTTAATATTTTATAATATTGACATATATTATTTACCTATTGATGTGCAGGAATGGATCTGGCAGTAATAATTTGCATGAGGAAATAGTTGTTGGATTAAAACAAATGTTAGACCAACACAACGAACTGGTCAAATCATTTCGTATGGCCAGAGATAGAATGCGAGAGCTTGGTGAATCAAATGTTCGAGTGCGTTTGATTGGTAAGAGATACAAAGATGCCAGACGATATAATTTGCCTACGAGTTCAGAACTTGCTATATTGGTTGTTGGCGATTTTGACCAGGCTTTGGGTGAAAGGGACATATTGGTTGAAACTAATATTGGTCGTCTACAACGGATTAATGAACTAAATGCTTCCTACTTGGCCTTACAATATCCTCTTCTGTTGCCTTATGGTGAGGATGGGTACAGAGAAGACATACTTTTTTCTGAAGGAACGCCAGTACGTGAAGATGGTCGAAAACATGTCAGTGTAAGGGAGTACTTTGCATACAGAATGCATGATAGAGATCACGAACCTTCGACTATTGTTTCTTCCAGAAGGCTATATCAACAATTTATAGTCGATGCTTATACCATGGTTGAATCTGCAAGGTTGAGATACATGAGCTTGAGCTTAACGGGTGAGTTATAACTAGAGTTCAAAAGGTGATACAACTAGATCTAGAAGATGGAGATAGGTCTAGAGTTTGAGGTGTACGCCAGAGCTATAACTCGTGTGAGCTAAAGCTAGAGTTTGAGGTGCAAATTATATCTAGGGCTCGAAGCATAAACTAGAGCTGGAACACATATGAGTTAGAGCTAGAGTATGAACTAGAGTCGAAGTGTGAGTTAGAGCTCAAGGTATGGGCTAGTGCTACTAGAGTAGATGTGAGAACTGAAGTTGGATAAGAGCTAAAGGTGAAAGCTATATGAGTGAGTTAAGGAGTTGACATTACCTATCAGAGATACAATTTTTAAATTTTTTTTTTCATGGTATACATCTTGAAATAGATAATATACCATTGGAGATGCTCTTAACATGGGTTGTTGACTTGTATCTAATATCAAAATTGTAATCCACATACGTGGGCCCAACCAATCCATTCTAGACTCTTCAAACCCAAAACCAACTCAAAAGTTTCAAATTTTTATTTTTATTTTCGAATAAAATAAATTATAGTTATGATATAAATAAAATATAGTCAGTTAATGAGCCAATTAATACATGACGCATCTATTAATTTATATTATTATCTACCTTATCATACTTGCATGCTTCGAAATCATATTTGTCATAATTTTATGCTTTGGGTTGATATATAATTACTAATTACGCTCGGGTGTCATGTCAAATGTCAACTAAATATGGTTATTTCCATAATAAATTAAATATTTTCATTTATTGAAACAATCATTATTTGTTTCATTCTATATTTTCTTTCATCGTTATCATAATACTCTTTTTGTTATTTTTTTTTTCTATTACATATTTTCACTTAAATCAATCATATTTGGTAATTGATATAGCCCAAGATAATGTGGCTCGTTGAAGGATGCCATAAGCCAAGCTCGAATATGCAAGACGGCGGCTAAAACACAAAGATAAAGAGCACGGTGATGACCGACTATGTTAGCTTGGCGATGGGATGATTCCCTTGAGAGTTCGGCCTAAAAGTTGGTCGAACGGATGGAGATCGTGCGGAAGTTTTCTTAGTCAGCTCGGCTTGGAGGGTATATAAGGCCTTTCAGCTAGAAGATGGAAGGATGCCATTTCCAGCACAACAGACATGGGTTGGAGGCGAGTGTGACGACCTCAGGGAATGTGCATGTTTGCGAGCTTTATCAAAAGGATGTAGGGATGATATCGTATTAAAGGAGAAAGGAACTGAGTCCCTTGAACGAAATATATTCGATTAGGAACTCTATAGGTTTGGTAAGATCTGGTTTGATGAGATATATACAGGAAGACCCCTTGTCTTACTAGAAGTCTTTTTAACCACAAATAGCTTTGACTATAAAGAGAGATACAGATTATTACTTTTACACAACACACAAACACGCACAAAAATACATTCTCATTATACCATTGTTGAGCAAGAAACTGACTTTAGTGTCAAAGTGTTTTCCGCCGGGACACCCCCCCCACCTCGGGCGGTTTGCAGGACATCATGAGACATCAAGACAAATTAAGTCAACGGATTGCGGTTCAATCGAACCAACAGACAATTTGCGCAACAATATTAATTTATTTCTCAAATTTTCTCTTCAATATTCACATATTACTCATTTCGAAGATGAAGTAATATGATATTATTCTTTTAAAAATAACATTTGTTTAAAATTTAATTAGTATGCTATTAATTTAATTAAAATAAATAATTAATTATTCAAATTCTAAAATTACATATAAATTAAAAAAAATATATATAATTTGACATCTAAATTCTAGAATTATATAGATGTGTTTACCATTATGCTTAAAAAAATTAGTTTGAAAGTTCAATTAAAATATAAATTATTTTAGTTTAAAAAAATTAAGATATTTTTTTATATATATTTCTTAATTCAACACTAATATAATACACGAATATTTTACTAGTTACATAAACACAAGGGTAAAGGCAAACTAATTAATAAATAATAATTTATGAGACTAAAATCTATTTACATTTGTACCTAATTTGAATGGAACATTCTAGGTTTGAAACTCACATAGATAACATCTGCCTTTCCTATACATACCCAATTTCTATTCATTCTCAAATAGGCAAATATGTTGAACTAGTTCTCTTTATTACTTTTTTATACCATATCGAAGGAGAATTTCAAGCTTGACAAGTACGTCTTTACGGCGTATGTTGTGAATTAGCTTCCACTTATTAAGAGTGCACAAACGATAAAAGACTTACTAAATTAGTCAACAAACACTCATTCCATTATTGTTAAGGTGGGGGCAAAAGGCTTATTTGTCAGGCTTGTGATTCTCCTTTGATGGTGTGAAATGTCCACCGGCGATTTGTCAGATCTACTCGCTCCTAAGCCGGAGAAAGGGACGGCGGCCGGGTCTTTGACTCGTCGGCCACTCGCCGAGTTCGATTGTGGGGAAACCCCTCTCGATTTGGTAAATCTGTGGGGTTAGGGTTTCGTATTCATTTTCTCTAAAGATGCAAACTTTTTTCCTTGATTCGCAGATTAACATGTTCGAATCAACCTTCTTCTTCTAGTGTTTATTTATTTTATTTTTTTCCAATTTTAGTTCAAACATCCCTTTTATTTTCCTTTGTAATTTCATTCGATTTAATAGATTGTTGCTGCTTTGCTTGATTAGCTCTTAGATTGGTACAATTTTGTTGTTGTTTTTTTTTCTTGTTGGCATGTGCTATTCCATAATTGTGTTTGGTAAAATCAGCTGAACTTTCCTTTTCGATTTTGTATGTTAGTCTTTGGGCAAACTTCATGAGGTCAACTGTTTGTGCCGGTTTTCATATGTTTGGTAACAACTTTCCTTTATTTTTTCGTTACTTTTTCTTTACTTTTAAATAGGTAACGATGGAGGTGGAGCTGTCTGCAGGAGAATAATAACACGTGTTATGACATATTGATGCACGTGTGATCATGTCGTATTGATGCATGTGTCATCCATTCAACGGAATGAAACATGAATATGAATCAAACATGAATTGAAGCATGATTTTGGAAAATGAGATTTGGTGTGCGGAGTTGATGATTTTCTTTGAATGACCAAGATAAATCTTCTATATTGAATCCGGTAGATCTCTTTGTGTGGTGTGGTTGCCATGGTTGTTATGTAATTAATTATCCCTGCATGGTTATTGTTAAGATTGACGATTTTCTTTAACGGCCAAGCTAGACAATTCACATGTCCGTGAGTTGTGTGGCTAGGCATGATTGTTGGAATTGGTTGGTGTACTTGTTCGATTATCTCCTGCATGACTAGAGTTGGCCATTTTCCTTTTTACTACGTCTGCAAAAACACAGCGAGGAATATATTTCGTTTGGTTTCCATACTTTGAATAACGAGCTTTAAACATGTCGAGGATTTTGAAAACATGAGGATATTTAACTTTGTAATGTATTGCTAGCATTCTCATATCTCTGAGTATCATTTTTATGTAATATTGTACTAGTTTTGTATTACATTGGTTTTAATCATTTTTGTTTAACATATCCACTCCACGGTATGGAGACGAGCTGATATGTCCATCAATTGATGTAGCAGAAAATTAACGGTCTGAATTTGATTGAAAGATTACGGGTCTTTGACATGTGGTTGGTGAACGCGAGCATTTTTCCCTATTGGGGATTAATGAAATAGTAGAGGTAGATGGTGTAGCGTCATGTGAATGTGAATGTGATATTGTTGTATAATATGGATTTGAACAGTTGAGGAGCATCTCATGATATACGGTTCTTGGTGAATTAGAGGATACTTCGATTATCACTGATAGTTTCAAATCCCTCCCGTATTTTTCATGTGTTTAAGCATAATGGTTCTAATTTTTGCCAAGTGCCAAAAAAACAAGGAAGAATGCATTATGTTTCCGCAATTTTCGCTAAGTGGCCAAAAACAAGGAAAAATGCATTATGTTTCCGCCATTCCTCACGTCGTGTTCTTAGAATAGCAAAAAATGGTTAACAAACGTTTCCTCACGTCGTGTTCTTTGGATAGCAAAAAATGGTTAACAAACGGTCCCGATGAAACTTATTATACCGGCTATGCCTCATCCAAATGTTACAACTCATAAAATTTTCTTTGTTGGTTTTCTCTACCAGCTATACTTCATCCAAATGTTACAACTCATAAAATTTCATTTTTAAGTTGGTTGTCTCATAGATCAACATTTTTCAGACGATAAGGAATACTTCAGTTTGTAGTACTCTTCAATTGAGATTAATAGGTTTCAAGTTCATTCGAATCATACAGAAGTCAAAAAAGATTAGTGAAGAATCACTATTTATCCTCT